GAGGTGGCAGGTCTGCAGCACCAACACACTCCCCTGCTCCGAGAAAGCTGTTTTTTCTCCTATGTCTCTCACAGGGTAGAACAAGTGCATTTGTGCATTTGCTCCTCTGTGGGTGGAGTGATTGCAGGTTTCTTTAAAAAATTTTTTTAAAAAGGGAATTTTCTCAATTGCACCACAAGCAGTATCTCCTCTGTCTCCTGTAGAAAGTAACTGAGGTAAGCTGCACAGCTTTGTAATGGGAATTTAAAGTTAATTAAAGGTGTTTGGGGTCAACATGAGACTGAAGGGAAGGATCGCTGGAACGTCAGCTGCAGCTGCTACAAATTTGTTTCTTTCAGGTCAGATCCTGCACTCTGTCCCCACCTCACAGGTCCCAACAGTTCTGGAGTTCATGTTCTGCTCCTGCAACGAGCAGCACCTTCAGAGGCCCTTCAAATTTTCTAAGCGGTTTTCTGATTCCTGGCTGTGTGAGAAATTAGGGATTTATTTCATCTGTTGTACCTGAAAGCCTGATCTATTGAAAGAAGCTGGCTGCAGGAGGAAAAGGGACTTCATAAACCTGCCAAATAAATCTTCTCCAGCCCTGGTTCCCTTCTGGCAGCATCTCCAGGACCTTCAACTTGTTCAGCTTCTTCTGTCTCCCGAAGTGGGAAACTTCCTTTCTTATCTCTTTATCACAGCTTTTGTTTTCTGGCCTCTACTACAATAAGTGTGTGTTTTCATTTGTTAAAATCTTTGCACAATCAGTTGACTGACTGTTTGCATATAGACCACTGAGAAGCTGGGGACTATGGCAGGATTATTTTGGAGAAGCCTCCAGGGACACAGCGAGATTGGCCTAAGTAAACATGGGTATTGAAATTTACTCACACGATATCCATGTGAATATTGAAAAATCTTCACAAGACTTGATGATTATATTTTCTAGATCCTCTGGAGTGGAAAGTGCTTTATAACACTATACAAACTGATCTGCTATTCCCAAAAGAGTGCCAGTGCCCAGGTGAGTGCAGAAACTGCTTAACACTTGCACCTAACACCCTAAAGGGACTAAAAGCTGGAAATGGAAAACAGAGAATTAGCAGCAAGCAGAAAGTATGAATCTAATCAGGACAGAATATAATCATTTGTAATTAAGTCTGTCACTGCTGCCAGTGTAGGATGGTGACTCTTGCTATAATTTCACCATCATAACCATTCTGTTGGTCAGGTTACTTAACCTGCTTTCAGTGCTTATCTATTAAGGATTTTGTTCTGGTATGTGACTGTGAAAAAGGGGTTAGAAAAAGTAACAGTTTCCTGTAGCAGGGATATTCCAGTTGCATAACTGCCTCCAGAGGATTTTTCTCAGAGCAAAAGGACTTTGTTAGATGTGCAAGACACCTATAGGTTTTGTTGCCTTGACAGTTGCTCAACTGAACTGCCTCTAACTCATCAAACATGCCTCAAATTTACATCAGCAATTGCAAACAGTAATTACCCAAAACTGGTGCTTACTTGACAGAAAAATCGTGCTTGTTCTCCTCAATGGACCTCTTGCAGAAGCCAGAGTAGTATCAAGAAAAGGAAACATGTAACAGAAGAAAGTGGTATTTCATTTTCAAAACGGTCTAACAGGAATGGAAAGCAGAGGGGTTCCTTCCTACATGCTGCCCTAAGCTAACTTTCACCCTGATGAATACCAAAGGGAAATTACAAGTTTCCTTAAAAATGTCTGTTGTTCCTGCAGAGCTCATATTGCTTAGAGGGATTTACAAGGCTTCAGCTTTGCACTGGAGCTTTTGTGTTGATAAGGCATCTTTCAACAGGAAAAAAGACCCCATGCAATTCACAGAAGTCACCACGAAAATTCCCCAGCACAGCTATTTCTGCCAGCACAGTAAAATAAAACAGCAATACCACACAAGAGCATGGGGCCAACGACTGAAGAGAAGTAGAACAGAAGTAAATAACTAGTATTTATTCTCACAGTAAGCAGCTAAGTAAAGAAATCACATTTCCATACACACTAATCATCATTCTTTAGTGAAACCAAGAGAGTTAAACTGTCTCTCTCAACAAGCTTCACCCGCTGTATTTCAAAAGCAAGCTTCTCTGAACACAAGAAAAGTATCTTTCAGAGCTTAAATGTTCCTTTGGTATAAATGTCATCTTATTTTGGGAGAAAAATAAAAGAATTACATAATTTGTTAGATTACATTAAAAAACCACAAACAAAGCAACAGATGAACGTCAAAGCAACACAGTAGTGGTGGTCTTTTAGTTTAAGAACAACAACATATCATCGCTAAAGCTGGTGTTGGAGAAATTAGGTCTTAACTGAAAACTGTTTTAAATCCAGAGGAAATACCCTTTGTAGCACATGTAAGAATGTGAAGTTTATCATGGCAGGAAGTCCTGCCAAAAGCTTACAGAAAAATATTTCTGTGCTACCAGACAACCACAAGAGACAATTTCTAAGTTGCAAGTATAGGATGTTTTCCAGAGTTTTGTGCAGTTATTAGAATTTCCATCCTAATATTTTGGGGGAATTTTAAAGCATTCAAATTTTGTGCTCTTCTAATTTAAGCATAATTTGGCACCTAGAATAATAAAATTTTGTCTACTAGACAGAAAAAGTTTATCATCAGTGTTAACATGATTAATTCCAGTTTACTACTTTCTCTTAGATGGATGCTACAGGGATGCAAGTTGCTAAAATTATGCCAGATTAATTTTACTTAGGAGACCTGGCTATTCCTCTGTGTACATGGCTGAGATGCTTTCCAGCCCTTCCTGCTTCCCTCCAGCATTTGCAAACCTCGAAGGGAAAATAGACGCAAACCACTTTGGTAGAGAGAGGGAAATCTGTAACCCCAAATGATGGCCTTGTAATAGTGCCACTAGTGGGTTCAGCCTCAAGAGGCATTCTAAACAATAATTTATCTTTTACATCATCTAACTACACTAATGCTAATGCTCTATACCATATGCCTTGTATAAACGTTGTCCAAGCCAAATCAGGCCATTATCTAGACACCAGTACACAACAGCATCTCTTCCATTGATTTAGGACTGTGCCATCAGAATCACTTGTAGAGGGGCTTGCCAGGATGATGAGACTGTGACTGCACAGAATTAGCCAACAGAGACTTGACCCACTTGGCCAGGCAGGTGATGGTTGTAAATCACATGTATTATATGGGGTTACAGTACCAGAAGTTATATATGTGCAATCAGTCCAAGGGGCTTCTTTTGAGAACTAGGGCTGGCATTAAGCCTCAGACTCAGCCTCAGATTAGAGGAAAACTCTGCAGATTCTGGTCATTAGAACAAGATGATGAAGACCAGATTTTCTCCTCCCAGGTAAAAGCCCACTGCTGGGTGTTTAGCAATGTCACCTCCATCAACATCTGCCTTAATTCAGCTGCTCTCAAAGTCAAAGCAAAAGATGATAGAACGGGTATTCCCAGGAACCTACCCAGAGCAGTGGCAATGGAGAAGAGATGTAACACAGCCCAACTGGTGCCAGCAGACATTGTCACCTCACGTCCTCTCCACAACTCCAGAGCAGGGCCAAGTGGCCTCAAGTGTGAGGTAGCCCTGGTAGCTTACAATATCAACCAACCTCCTCTCCCAGCTCTGCTCCTATAGTAAAACCTAACCAGTAATGACTAGTGTGGGTGTCTGGTTTATGGTCTCACTGTTGAGGACCAGGGCAGGGCACCTGGACTCGTGATAGTTGTCTTACCAGCAAACCTAAGCTCTTGAGAAGGGCTCTGCCTGCTGAATGAGAGAGATCTGGCAGCACTCAGCTGCCTGCAAGTTGCTCTGAATGTCCCTGTGAAAGGAAATCAAAACACGTTACAAAAAACTGAATGTGTGGTTTATTATATTTAAGATGCTATTTGTCTATAGGGTTTAAATATGTCTGTCACATAGTTAACAGTAAATGAATGTAATTTTACATGTTCAGTATTTTGATACACAGTACAGGACTACAAGTGTGGTAAAGGAGCATGGGAAATTAGTATTTCCTTGATGCACGTATCAAATCTTGCAGCACCACATAAAAGCTCAGAGTAAGGACTCAAGCTGCAGTATTACAAGCTCTACTAAACAAACCAAGAGACATACCTATATTAAACATTAGAGAAACAAAACAAATGACACAAGGGTTTAATATTTAAGATTTGATACAGGATTAAAATACTAATATTTTTAATGTCCTGGTTTCAAATTAATAAATATAAAAACAATATAAAAATATACACCAGTTGATAAAAGGATGCACTGAGTAAGGTTAGAAAGCTAAATTTCACTTTCAAACGTATGCAGGTATGTCTTTAGGGAGAGGATCTCTGTGTAGCTGCGACTGGTCTTTCGGAAGAAGTCCAAGCTTGTGAGCTGTTCGATGTCACGCACACGTGCGGTGTGCATCTTAAGAAGATCTTCAACCCATTTTGATTCATCCTCAAAGCTCTGAAATGTAAAAAAAAAGTTTTATAACATGCCATGTCAAAAATCATCTCCAAAAGCAAATGCAACTTTTCTAAACATTGGGTCCATTTGGAGAATCTCTGTGCCCTGTTCAAGAATGACTAACATAAACAAGTTCCAAGAAAAGAGGTTTGAAACAACATTCAAGATGATTCCTACAGTTTTATTTTGGGACCCATTTTAGGTTCAGACAATGACCATAGTCGTCTAGGAAAACCTGGCCCCATGTAGAAGGTGTTTCAGAAGAACAGCCATACACTTTCAGAAGATCCATTGGTCACTACGTATTTTTTTATCTCACAGAAAGAACTCCATATTAATCAGTTGCTTATTACCAAAGCTCAAACTCTAGACTGTTTAGCTTTGAACCCTATGCCTACACATTATTCTCATCTGGCCAGCATCTTATCTAACACAATATTATTTTAACCTTTCCACTTTACTGTTTGGAGACCATTACAATTCATCACACAGCTGGGATTACAGTTTATGTTGGTACCTGTAAAATCCTGTTATTGGAACATACATGTTATTCACTGATAGAAAGAAAGACTTTCACTAAGCATTTCTCAATACCACTAAAAAAAAAAAAAAAAAAAAAAAGGAAGATGGTGCTGCCAGAGTGATTTGGGTCAGGTTGCGTGGATGTAGTCTCTCTTAGGGGACTGCTCCTGCTGCATGCTTTGTGCCAGCTCCGGCACATGTTGGAGCCACCCACAAACTAAGGTAACTCGCTAACACATCAGAAAATCAGCTCTGCAAAACACTTCATTTACTGGCTGCTTGAGTGCATTAACCAGTCCAGTGACATGTCCCATGAACATTGCAGCCAGCCCCAGGGACTGCACAGCAGGGAACATACGTGGGAAAAGGACAGAGCAAACAGGACTTTTGCCCCTTTGGCCTCTGTGGCTGGTACATCCACACTGCTGCTGGGGAAGAAGCAAGTTAGGAATGTAGGGTTGTGCCTCCGGGCATTTGGACTCCATGTGTCTGACTTGGAAATTTTGCTGATAAAAATCTATTTGTGGGCTTACTCCTGAAAAGGAGCCCTTTTCTGGCTGTCTCAGCAAGGTCCTCCTACAAAGTGAGCCTCTCACGGATCAAGACTGAGCTTCAGCAATGCTAGAGCCTACCCAATGCGGTAGACGTGCCACAGACCAGGGAGCGGGTCACCCTGCAGAGGCCAGGAGGGTGAGCGTGATCGTTTGCACAGAGAGGACACGAAGTACCAGTTAGGTCACAGCTGGCTGCTCTAAAGCAAATGTCCATGACCCAGGCAGCACTTGTCTGTTTTGAAGCCTTTCAACTCCAAACTGACTTTCCTCTCCATGTCGCTAGCAACCTGAGGCCCAAAACTAGGTCTGGAACATGAAAAGAAAGATGCAAATTAAGAGGGAAGAGAAGGGAGTGTGCCCTGCTCACTGCCCTTCACCTGCAGTGCCATCCTCCAGGAAAGCTGCCTGGCAGCATGTGGCCACAGGAAGATTCCTGTTCAGCTTTCAGCCTGACAATCAGCTTGTTAGTCCGCCAACAGGCCTCAGCAGCGTTGTCACTGGAAATGCAATCACTGTGACATTTTTCTTGTCTTCAAGCCTTCCTTCTGAGCAGGAAATCTGCATTTTACAGAGCTCAGAGGGAAGTCCAGCTGCTACAAAGCTCACTTTTTTGAATACAAGGAGGACTCCTAAGAGTTTACAAAAGATCTACATATGAATAAATCACAGGACTGTGAGGTTGTTTTAAACCAAGTCCAGTAAGACAGCATTTGCATGACCCCAGAAAATCAATCAGCTGATTTTTGTTTCAGTTTTTCCATTCCACAACTCTCCCATGCAACCTCAGGTCCATCAGCAAGGATTTTAAACACAGTAATCAGCTAACATGGTATTATATTACTGCAGAACAACAAATGAAGTGTATACATTTAAAATTACAGTTTTCTCCATCTGTGCTGGTTAGTCTCACCTCAATAGTACAGCAAGTCTTAGAAGAAAAAAATAACAATTGAAAACATGGTAAATAGAAATAGGAAAACAATTAGGAGGCTAACCTAAAACCCACTGCAAAAGTTACCAGATATTCTGGACAAAAGAATCCTCTGGATATCGAATTATTAGCTGGAAAGCTGAATACATGGTCAGAGAGTAGACAGGTGGGTGAGGAACTCACTTATTAAAGGAGAAATTCAAAGGTTTTGCTGAAAGGGAGAATAGTGGCTTAGGGGGTTTCTAGTAGGGTTCCTTCAGTTTTTGTCTTGAAAGGATCTTGTATAATGTTTTCATATATGCTTTTTGTGACAAGGTCATTAGTGTGTTAGTAAAAAAAAAAACAAAAGAAAAACCAAACAACAACAACAAAAACCCCAAACCAGTTGGGAGCTCCTGTCAATGCGGAGGAAGATTGGAATAGCACACTGGAGGATGCAGATGCAGAAGTCGCTGGTATAGTGGGAAATCGGGTTATCCGCAAATACTTCTGTTAAGCTGAAAGCTTCTCAGGTGAAACACCAGATAGAAGAGAAGGACTTGGGCATACCGGTTGTGCATGACTGTGAGACACCATTATAACACAGCTATGGAAAAAGCAAATCCTAGATAGGAGTCGTGTCCAGTGTAAAGAAAACTGTTTCATTTTGAGATCTCAGCTGGAGTGCTTTATCTCATTCATGTTCCAGAAAAATAAATAAAAAATAAAACCAGAGTGGAACAGATGCATAGGAAGATTACTAAAATACTCATCCTGTCTTACAAGAAGAGCAAAAAAGATCCTGGGTCTCCCATAAATAGAGAGAAGTATATGCCTTGAGAATCATCATAAATCATCACTAGGGTAAATCCCAAAGAAGCCCAGTGAAGGGCTATTTGAGCCATAGAAAAATGTTGACACAAGAATAAATGGGTATAACCTCACCATGAATAAACACAGTTTGGAAATGGAAGAAATTCAAATGAGAAGAGTAGAGGTGTTCTCCAGTAGCCGTGTGAAGGGGGAGAAAGTGTGCGCAACAAGAGCAGAGCAGGGGGAAAGCTGTTTCTTCAGATCTTAAAAGCAAGCTGTGGAGAGGTTAAGGAAAAGTTCTTACATTATCCCATGCATTTCAAACATGAAGTATGTGAGGTTTTACACAATCACTGCTTTGAACAAATAAGATGGAACACCATGTGCAAAAGTAAGACTGACACTCTATTTGAATGGCAAAATTTTCATTCAAGAGCTACATTTAAATATTTTTGGAGTGGTTCTTTGCTATGTAAAAAGCATAGATCAATATCTGCTAATGACCCTAGTAATGGCACTGAAGTTCCTCCTAGAACTGTTAACACATACACTGTAAGTAGCATGACCTACAAAGAAAAGAAGCCTGTGTTGGAATATAAGAAATCGAAGAGTAAAAGAGGACATTATTCTAAATAGCTCAAAAAAATATTTCTGCAGTTTAAGAGGACTATGGCATGCAATATAGGGAGGAAAAAAATTGACTTTATCATAAAATTACATACAGGCAGAGATACAAGGACAGAGGTACTAATAACTGCCAGATTAGTAACATCCAGATCACCAACTGGATCTTGATTCAGAGGAAAGAAGTCCAGAGAAAAAAACATGATGAAATATATGTAGGACTTTGAGACTTCTGGTGGAAGACATCTCTGCCCAAAGCAGTTAAGAGTCTAAACAGGGGGAAGCCAGACCTGCTCAAGAGAGAGGGATACTGCTCCAAAAGCGTGGTTTTAAAAAAAGAGACCTGAAAGCAGGCGATGTTTGATGAATGAGAAAGAGACAGTGTTCCAGGTGAATTGTGTACAGAGTTGGAGTGACTATTTCTGCCTGTAGCTGGAATAGGAGTCTTAACTTTTTGTGCCAATACAAAATTCATAACATTAATGCGTTCATTCAGGAAACGGTCTCCTGGCAGCCTATAGTGAAGTGTCTGTGTGCAGGAATCCGCACAGCTGTGTAATGGGAGAACAAGTTCAGGCGGAAGGACAAGTCTAAATACAGCTGCCTGGGAGGACTGCTGTCCTTGCAGAGTGCCAGAGCCCGTGGGGACCCGACTGCTCTCCTGCCGCACAATCAGCTGCCGAGTGTGTGTGCTACTTTCTGCAGTGCTGACCAGACCGAAGCCTTTGTACTGTTCTGAGATTCTTACACTACAGGATCATGCATCCTAAAGGAAGATAGGAAAGGAACCAGGATGGTGTCTGGTCATGTCTATTAGTAAGAACCCAAACTTTCCCCTTGAATTAATACATGTTCTGGAAACAGCGTGAGCTGGCACTCTACCCTTGGCAGGTTTTAGCATATAGTTTTAATACTGTGTGGGCTGGATGCAATCATGCTGTCTGATGCACTCAGAGTGCCATAGCAGACAGACTGTATTGTACCTTCATATGAAACAGACCTCAATATAACATCAGGCTATCTGCCAGCACAATACATCTACATACACAACCTTCCCCGAGTCTACTCTGAAGTTGCACTGGCAGTGTCTGCCAAAATGTAGAAGCCTACAGGTTGTTTACTGCCAACTTACTGTATGTCAGTTCTTCCAGACAATTTTAGATGCAGTAATAGGTCCATATTTTCTCTGATATCACAGAGGAGTGCTTTTGTCTAATGAGTTGAACATGACACTTAACAAGTCACTACCTTGTGCTTTCATTCAAAACATCAGTGAGCGCTAGCATCTAGTAGTAATGGGGTTTCACGTGTCCCAGGGATATATTTACCACGGGACTACAGTAGTGCAGCAGAACTTACATTGCAGCTCTCGTCATTGTCAGGCCGGTGAGGAAGGATGTACGAGAGAACGGAGAGTGGTCCGTCACACTTGTCGGCTGGCTGAGTGAAATCTAAGCAGCTGGTTATGATGGTATAGTAATGAGTAGGAACGGGAATGGCGCTGCCTTCCACAAACCTGGGGGAATAAAGCAAACATTTATCCACAAAGGATAGACTTGTTTGGAAAAAGGTTACAGAAACAGCATGGCCTTTCCACTGCTACGTGTGAGAACACATGCACATTGCTGAGATGTGTTTGATTCCTAAACGCTATCTGAAAATGAACATTCAATTAGCTCATGTTTTGATACTGTGCTACAGAAATGCCACACGCCAGTGCTGAAAGACTTCTTCACTTCAGGGACATAGAGAGAAAGCATTACAGAATTAACGAAGGACTTGAGTATCTAACTCAATAGCACTGCTATGGTTTGCTCTGGTATCCAGTTGTCAACTCTTAAGTTCTGGAGAATTTTAGAGAAAATAGATTATTTGGAGCATAATTCAGCTTCATCTCAAAGATGAATGAAAACTTAATTTCAAAGTCAAGGTGAAGAGTTACCTGCTGAATTGCCATTTCCTTATTTTTACCACTGTCTTACCTGTAGGGGTGTTCAGTCTTGATAAACAATAATTTTAGAAAGAGCTAGAAAATCATATCTCCTCCCCAAAATTGAATAATGTGCAGACAATTAATTATTTAAGATAAGGCCATCATTAAGAGAAGCAACAGCAAACAAATCTAAAGACAATTCTTACTGTTTTATTTTGTCAGGCGTGTCATGTAAACCATCATAGTCATAGTCAAAGATCGGTCCAGTTATAACATTGACTCCGTTTCGTTCAGTGGCGTATCTCTTCACCAAAACCCTTTGGAAATAATTCCATACCTCTGTGGGGAGAAAAACACAACAACAACAAATAACGTGCCAAAATTTGGATAAGTCAAAACATGTCAAGATTATAAACAATTTTTTTCCTCTGAAAATAAAAATCCAGTGGACTTCATTCACACAACAGTAGGGGAAATCAAAGACCAAGCATTACAGATTTACTGCAGCTTCATTCAGTTTGGTCAATAAAGCCTATTCAGACTTTGTTCTCTGTTGAATTTTTTTACCCAATCAGTGAGAAAGGCATGGTACCACTCCCAGGCTGGCATTGCCATAGGCATTGCACAGAGACCCTGCTGTTCCTTTACCAAGCAGTAGAAACAGCTATTCACATGCTTTTGATGTCCCTGTAAACACTTCTTTTGTCTTTCTTATCTAGTTACAGGGAATGGTGCTGTGTATTTTTAATTCTAGAAAGGGAACAGCACTGTGATTAAAAGCAAAACCCAAACATTTTAAAAGAAAGGGAAATACAAAGGTCATATTCTTCCAGTTAAATTCTCCTTGGATACAAAATGTCTAACTTTTAAATTAGGTGCTGTCATGGATGACCAAATTATGGCATGGCATCTCATTACAGCAACTTTTGGGAAAGGCATGACACTGTTTCTCCCACTATGCCCTCCTCAGCCTTAACAGGTTAAGATGCTTACAGACAGGAAACAAGCTGGAATCTCCAGTTACATCACTCTTTTCCTTCTTTATTCCTTCTTATTTTAACACTAACAGAAGGGTGTGTAAACAAAAATCTTAGGCTTGTAAAAGTCTAACGTTTGTCTTGCCAGCTCAGACGGTTAAGTCCATGGCCTCAGCAAGTTCCCCAGTAAACCCTGTCCTAAGACTGCTCAGTGCCACATGAACTCTGTGCTCGGGCTGATGCAGAGGGCCCCAGAAGCAATGGTCTAACAAGAACCTCAGCTGTGGTAACCACTTGGCCAGTACCACTCCTGCAGCTGCTCACTCCCCCAGTGCAGCCGCCTTAACAATAAAAATAGCCCAAAAAGGAAAGTTGTTAAGTTGGGGGTTTTTTTCCCCCAGTTTTCCAGCTGAATCAGTTCCCCACTTCAGTTCCTACTGCAGCCACACAGACAGCAACGCCAGTGCAACAGGGTGGGGGTGGGGGGACAGGAGGACGGGATGACAGTGGCATCAACTTGCAGCTCCAGCAAAGCAGGAGCTGCTTATGCCAGACTCCCTACAGAAAAGGTCGATACAGAGTTATTACCTGGGGGGATGGGATGGGACAGTGAATTTAAAAAAACAAAGCAGAGAAGGGGGCCTCTGCAACCAGCACTGCCACCAAAGCCAGCACAGAGTAAAACCGCCACCTCGTATTTTCCCTGTTGTGGAAAAAGCTCCGTGTAATGAGCTTATAATCGGCTCTCAGCGTTGCAACCTGTAGACATGCAGTGGTTTGTAATTCCCCAGGAACGATACTTGTTCCAGCATTTGTTCTCAGGAAATTCTTCACCCACTTGTGATGAAGAGGAAGGCCACTAGACAAAATCAGCTGCTAGTGGAGGGGTTGTTCTCCTGTGATTAGCATCTCAGCTAATTTGCTTAGACTAACATTAGCATAAAGAGCATTTTTATGAAGTGATTTGAGAGTGGGAAATCCCCAATAATTTTGCAGTCTGTAATCAGTTAAGTGCCCTTGCTCAAATTTCCAGCAAACATCACCACTTGTTCATACTCAGAGGTTTCTCAGTTAAAAACACTCTTTTCTGGTTAAAATGAAAAAGCTCCCATAGGCTTTGATGTTTATCCAAACCTCTCTGGCCTAAAATCTGAATTGGAAATCTCACAAGAACAGGCTCTTGAGATTCTTCCAAGGTTTCTCAATTCCTGCCAAGCCAAAAATGCCACCAGAATAGTCTGATGGTTTTCCTACCTCTTGGCAAAACTAGAGAGAAAAGGGATGTGCAGACAACAGAAACATTAATACTATATCCCTGCAGCACTGAAAGTTTCAGCCAGGTTCAAGTCTTTCCTCATTTTCCATAAATATGTCTCCTCTCCCTTTTCTTCATAGGTAATAAATATGTTTGGTCTCCCTCTAAGGGCACGGATAGAAAAAGAAAAAATAATCATTTGTCCCTGAACTACAACATGTGAAGTGCACGCTCCCAGGCTTGTGCACGCTCCCAGGCTTGTGCACGCTCCCAGGCAACTCCAGTTGAGAAGTAAAAACATATTGCCTAAGTATGTTCTGCAGTAGCTTGGGCTACAGACAAGACAATACGAATGGTCTTGCACAAACTGAATTACTATGGCATGAAGAAAAATTGCTGAGCCTATAGAACATCTATGCTCTTATCTTAGCCCAGCACCAAGGAAAATAAACCTTAAGCCTTTCTTGTGGTATTTTGCCTGCCCATATCTAGAACTACACAGGTGCCACATGTATTACCTGCTGGCCACAGGTAACTGACCTTTATGTTCTAAACTTCTCCCAGCAATTCATTCCATAGTCCCAACACCCACATTAAAAAAACCCAAACAAACAAACAAACAAAAACCCCCACATTGGGAAAGAGAAGTAAAGCCATGGAAAGGGCACTTACTTTTGAAAGCAGGGTACATTGGAATTATATTTGTTATTAGAAAAGCATCATATTTTGCTTCTGCAGAGGAACTTAATTCTGAAAAAATAAACCAGAAAAATATTAATAAGAAATACCAGAAACTCAAAGAAATATAAAAATGTTTTGAAAAATGGCTTCAGAGATCAACCAAAGGGAACACTGACATCTAAACAGCAATCTGAATGCTATATTCAGAAGTGCACATTATGTGCATAAAATTTGTCTTTAATGTGACAGCTGAGCATGGAAAGTAAGGATTTTATCTTTGCTTCAACTATCAACCAGTTCAAAATATTTTCATATCCCATCCATTTTTGCAGTCTCAAAAGTCAGAGTGCCGCTCTGCAGGCTTTTATAAGAGGCAAACAATTTCCAGGGAGAGGAGCGCAGGATTATCTTCTAGTTCTGAGCAAGCCTCTGACACTCATTTACACAGGTTTTCTACTAGCACTATTTCTAAGGGATGGTTGAAACTTCTCCAGTATGCAAGAGTATGATTTGGATTTATAAATTAAATATATGGTTTATCTTACTGCTGTTTGAATTAAAAATTAAAAACTCTGACTAGATTCCCAGTTCATATAAGCTGGTATCTATCCACTGACTTTAAAGGGCCGGCTTTTGAACAGCATCTTCTAGCTTGTAGTTGTATTCTGTGCAATTCTTCATTCACCTTTATTTTTATCAATTAAACTTGAACACTTCACTGTTTTGGTGCATGAAGCTGGGGACCAGTTTGGAGCATCTCTCATGGAGCTGAGGGCCCATGGCCATGATGTCAACTTGTGGCATTGGGCTCTTGGTCCTCAGCAAGCGCAGCAAGAATAATGTATCCATCCCACTGGGCCCCATATGTGACACTGGTGAAGGAGCAGCTCCTTTGAGAAGACATCAGGGAGGAAGAATTCACTCCGGGGGGGAAATTAAACCACTCCTACCTATATTCCTTCCCAGCAAGGGAGCGGGGGTGGAGTTTCATACCTAAGGTTTTCCCTAACAAAAAAGAAAATTACAAAACCTATAGGTGTTAAAAAGCTATCTGAACTTACGAGGAGGAAAAAGGAAGCCGTAGGAGAGCTGTTTGTCACCTCTGTAGGCTGCACAGCTCTGGCTGTTTCCTGGAGAAATGCGGAGGTCAGGCCTCACACAGCTGGCCAGGTGCTCCGGGACACCCGATACCTCTGCCTGCATTGAGGAACATAGGCAAAAAGGACAAGAAAAGTAATTCCAGCACTTATAGCTGAAAGAAAATTATTTCATATAGTTGACAGATTACATGGAAGGCCTTGTGTGGAGTAAAATAAACCACCTTATGGAGTAAAATAAACCACCTAGCTGTACAACCAAGTCCCGCTCCTGTATCTGCTGCAGAGCCCCTCCTTCAGGTAGCATAAGTCACCATGGGAAATAATTCAGATGAAGTCCCTGATTATTCCATCATAACAAAATAAACCTCAGTCAAGCAAAACTTAGAAAGAAAATGAAAACAGGAAAAGAAATATACATCCCTTCTGCTTAAAATTTTTCTCCTGAAGGAAAAAAAAATATTTGGGCATTGTTTACAATGGTATTTGACATAATTTCTCATGGGAAAACCTAATTGGGGAAGTGGAATTTTAGGACTTCAAGAACACAGGTACTGAACAGATTTCCCCAGGATTTTTCAAGCACTTTTCAAGAGCAAAGACAGCACTAACCTGTTTGGAAATAGTGTAGGACGTCCAGAGAGGCATCAGGAATGTTTCACTGTAGCCGCTTTCAAAGTCATGGTGATGCAAGATACTGTATTTTGTGCGGTACAGTACTGCAGGGCGCCCATATAGAAGATGCTTCTCTACAGATTAGAAGAAGTTACGTTTACATTTATTACTGAAAAATTTAAAGATGAAAAAATAAAGGAGGGGTTGGCTTTCCAACACATGCTGATTTTACAGTGATCCTTAATGGGCTACTGACTGTGAATAACTGCTAAGGAAATCTCGTAACAGAAAGCGCAGCAGTTCTTCAACAGTTTTGGTTGGGATCCCCCTTCGAGGCTTACAACCCACTTTGAGGTTAAAAGTCCCTTCTGCACTTGAAAGCTTGTTGGGGTCATAGCACGGACAGAGGCTGTTTCTCCAAACACAGGAGACTCCACAAGGATCTTTGTGTCCACATTTCAGTCACACATGAGGTGATAAGCACTTTTTTTGTAGCTTTAAATCAGCACACCACCACCCCCCTCCTATCACTGCTGACATTCTTCTCTAGACGTTTCTCCTTCCTATGTTTTTTGTAAAGTCCCTCTCAAAAGGGAGGCAAAAGTGCTCACCCACTAAAAGAGCATTTTTTTCCACTTGGCTGATATAGATGATGTTCTGAAGACTGATGTGCTATTTTCTGTCAGTAATATCAAAGAAAACAAACCAAAAATCCCCTTTTCCTAACTCTGGCTACAAAAAGACACCTCCAACTCCGCAAAACTTGCTTTTCTTCTGTGTTGGTGATATGTTATGGTTACTACATACCTCTGTGACAAACTTGCTTATAAAAACACAAAAATGTCATTGAAAGAGGTAGAGGAAAAATCAATTTCCTGGCTAGTCTTGCATTGTGCTGCATGGTTCATTGATTTTGATAACCGTTTGGCAAAAAGCTTGGTTCACTTTTGGAAATCTAAACATAGAAATAAGGAAAGCGGCGTAACCCTGTTCACAGATAAGCATTTAACCTGAAAAAAAAGGGCATGTTTTATTTGAGTCCAAATAGAGAATACTTTTATAGGACATAAGAAAGAAAAGTAGAGAATCCTTGCCTAAGGACAAAGATGATAAACTTGCTTTATTCAAGAGAAGCTGAAATCGTATTTCCCTTCTGCATGTGAATAACAACATCAGCTAAATATGCATGGTGCACCATGCAGGAGAAAGGAATTACCAAATGCAGGAAGATCCATGAACAGGTGCTACAGCCTGTCAGAAAATACAAAATAACTTGCACATTACAGAACTATTTGTTTAAATAAGGGGCACTTCATTCCACTTCACAGACATCTTACAAATGAGCAAGTGAAATTGGTTTAAATGCTTGTATCTTAAAATAAATTTAAAATACTCCTCTTTCTTATAATGCTGAAGTGAAGAAGCATCAAAACCTTAAATCAAAATAAAGATGTTGATATATCTACGAGTACAATGGTAAGGGTGCTATATCTTGATGCCACAAATTGCCACAGCAGGGAGTAGCTCTTCACTAATTTGGAAAAAGCACTTTAACAAGATGAAAGCTGCAGAAAAGCAATTTAACTCACAAGGAAAAGGAATAATTTCATCTCTAGAAACTAAAGGATAGCCTGCATTGTCTGATTTCAACAGAAAAAACTAAAGAAATAACTTCATAAGGGAGTTTAAAAAAAATCTCCTTAGTCATCTGAGCAATACGATTTGAAGCATCTCAAAAGTCCATGTCTAAACTCAAAGCTTCAGCAATTCCTCATTTGGACAATCGTTATGGTGAGGGGAATGCTGTGAATTGTTGTGCTGAACTGGATCACAGCTGTGAGAAGGAAAGCTCTGCTTTGGTGTGCCTTTCAGTCAGCATTGCTGCTCAGAAAAGCAGTTCCCATCCCCTCCCCTCTGATCCTATTCCTGCTTTTTAACCTGGACCACAGCCCTGATGTGGCCGACGCACTCAGTCAGCGCTGGCATACAGCAGGGAGGGTGCAGGAACTGGTGTCCAGGAGAGTGAGGGACGCTTTCTCCTGGGACTAACATTGACTTGAATGCTGATGAGGGACAAAATTGCACTGAGCATCCCTGAACCAGCAAAACATTTCTGCACTTGTTTCAGTGGATAACCTGCACCCTAAAAAAACCCAAGCATTAAAGATGTAGTCAGGGATTGTCAAAGCAGCTGTGCCATCCTTTCTACCAGTGACCTGGTGAAACCTAAGTCTGAAATACCAGTAAAACACAGTGTGCAGATGTGGTCTATGTTTTTTACCCCATTTACAGTTTGTGGTCAAATGGAGTACTGCCTCATGCACAGTGGAGATTAAACCTCCTAAAAGATGATGGAAAGGAAGAGCTAAAACTCGTATCGCTTTGAGTGATACTTTAGTCCTTGTTACAACGAAAGGTAGTGTGCACTGTCTCATGTGAGCTGCATTTAATCTTGCCCACGTATCTCATGTATGGTTATGTGCTATTTTGACATGTTATTTGAAAACACAGTATACTAAACATTAACTAAACCAAACCAGGAGTTTCTCTGGTATCAATGACACAAAGTAACTTGCAAAAGAAAACCAAACCAGCTTACTTAACTGAGGCACCAGGGTCTTACCTTCTGTTCCCTTGACATGAAAGCGCTTGTTGAGTTCATCCAACTTGTTCTTCTCAAAAACAGAAAAAAGGAACAAGATTAGGATCACTGGAGCATTCTGACATCTTGTTTTACTAAGCATCTAGCAAAACAAAACTAGCACTATAAAACACTGATGATTTTTTGTTTGTTTCCTATTTTACAAATAGCTGTATTTGTTCCAAAAGGGCACAAACACTTGACAGGAAGGACCTCAGGAATTCTTACAGATCAAACCCTCTCAAAATAGATAAAATGGCTGCACCTTTACTAGGCAACTACTGCTAATAGTGGAAGCATCAGCAGATCCTAAACAGCTACCTTATCATCACATGTACATCCTATATCGGAATCTGATGCAGAAGGCAGAGCAACAGGATAGAGTGGTTTAGCAACTTCATCTGGGACAGTTGGTTTATAAACATTGGCTCTCAGTAAGTGATTTAAACTTCCATGGGTGCCATTATTGGGAGCAGGCTTCAATCCAAGCAGATCTACGAAAACACCAAAGACGAATGATGATTAGATTGCAAACACATATTCAGCAACATCTCTACCAAGCTAAAAGACATTTATTTGCAATACTGTTTACACCCACAACATATTAATGAATACTTTTAATGCAATAAAAATACTAACCTTTTGTTCAAATCATAAAATTGAGGATGCTGCCTGAACAATACAGTAGCCTTTATGACAAGAAGGTTACTTTGCATCAAGACACTGGAAAACAGTTTTATTATAACTACTCCTGCAGCTTCAAGTGCAAATCTGTGGTCAATGTGCTGACATTACACCAACCATCTGGAACACAGTGTTATTAGTCACGTGCTTGATAAATAAGGGATAATTACCTTTTTGATATTTCACGTTTGGAAAAAAAAATTTAGTAAGTGAATTACACCTTTGGCTTGAAACTTTTATTGTTCTGAAAAATCAGTATTAAAGAAAAGATCCTAATGAATATCTGTATACATTGTCAGATTATTCTTCACAGCTACAGTGCTAGTTCAGGCAACATAATCACACCAGGAGATGCCATAGAAAACCAAGTGATGCCCCTGAGCTGCTCCTTGAGACATGCAGGTGCAGAAGCCCTCTCTGAACAGAAAGCTCCTTCCTAGACTGCTGAGGTGTGAACACCACGTGCTGTAGTGGTAAGTGCTCCATCTCTGCCAAGCTGCATGCAGCAAAACTGTGGTAACTCCCTTTATTGGCCAGCTGCTAGAGTAGGGCAAACTGAGGCCACTGAGAAGTGCCTTCAGCCCTGCTGGCCAAAAGGCAAGTGCTTGGGAAAGGGGGACTGGGGAAGGGACACTGGGAGGGAGCCAGGGCATGAGCTCTCAGATGCCTAAAGGAAGCCATGTTAGCTAAACCAGAGTGTTTCTCTTGTCATTTCTCAAGCACATAGCTTACCACACATGACGTTATAAAGTTCAATATTTTCAAAAGGAGGTACTTTGGTCTTGTATTTGAATGTAGGGCCATAACCTATAAAGACAGTCTTAAAAAAAAAAAAAAAAAAAAAAGAGAGAGAAGAATACACAAGAAAAACATTAAAAGTTAGGGGTTTTCTCAGAGAATATTTACATTTTAGAGACCTACAGTTTCTTCCGCCTTCAATGACTCTTTTGCAAAGGTTACTGCATTTCTCGTACCTGCATGCTGTTTATCTTGTTGTCATAGCCATGGTCTCCATGGAAGAAACATTTTCCCATTGGTTTCTTGTAAACGTCCACAGCTTTCCTAAATTGAAAAGGAATTAGAGAATTTCCTCAAAGGTGTAGGTATGGTGGCTGACCTGACAACATCCTTTGGGAGTAGGAGGTATAAGGTTACAAGGCAGTGCATTGCTTATCTTTCTCTAATAGCAGTAGTGGGGACTGCAAGCTCATCCAACAACCTTGGGGGTTCTCCCTCTGCTTCCTCTATAAGCAGATGCTAACAGCCAACTCTTACTCATTGATAAAAGCCTTAGCATCTATTTACTTATTTTCTCAGATGTGGAATGGCTCATTCTGGTAGTATAGCCAAACATGTGGAGGAAAAGAAGATTATCAGGAGTAGTCAGCATGGATTCACCAAGGGGAAACCATGCTTGACCAACCTGATAGCCTTCCATGATGGCATGACTGGCTGGGTGGATGAGTGGAGAACAGTGGACGTTGTCCACCTCAACTTCAGCAAGGCTTTTGACACTGTCTCCCATAACATCCTCATAGGCAAGCTTAGGAAGTGTGAGTTAGATGAGTGGACAGTGAGGTGGATTGGGAACTGGCTGAAGGACAGAGCTCAGAGGGTTGTGATCAGCTGTGCAGAGTCCAGCTGGAGGCCTGTCGCTAGCGGTGTTCCCCAGGGGTCAGTGCTGGGTCCAGTCTTGTTCAATATATTCGTCAATGACCTGGAGGAGGGGACAGGGTGCACCCTCAGCAA